GTGTGCAGAGCAGGGGGACGTGAGGAACAGTATTAAGAACCGCTGCTTTTGAACATTGATTTTGAAACTTGTGAATCCATTAGAATCGTTAGAAGACAGAATCGCGATTCATATATGAACAAATTTTTACATGCACCTCTAGTTTTCTCTTCCTCTTCTCTAAAGTAGCACAGCATGGTCTCGCCCCCTTTGCTGCCTTTCCCGAGGGCGGGGTTTATCCGGGTTTGTGATGTCACGAACCCGGGAAGTAACTCGTTGTAGTCCCTACCAGTCGTTTCTGTAGGCATTAAACTGCCAGAATTTTAAAAGATGCTATCTCCGTTTGAATTGAACTTTCAGTTTCGTAACTTTGCAGATATTGTTTATGCTCAAACAGCAACATTACACACTAACTAACGTTAAAAAAGTTAAATCGCAATGATCCACCCCTTTAAAATAGCATCATATGACACCTTTAAGATAAAACGTTGAATACTGATATTTGAAATAATTTAAAACATGAAAAAAAAAGTCGAAATGTGAAATTAAAACCGCCAGTAGGTGGCAGCAAGTGCTGTTAATGAGTGAGTCATTGAGAATCAACCGATTCATGAATATATGCAAATGAATAGGTAAAGCAGTCATAACACACACCAGTCAAGGCTCAGAAGCAGTACACTGAAAAAAAATTATACTTAATTCTTTTAAGGTAAGTGGTTGCAAACAATTTATTTTAGCTACATTTAAATAATAAAAAAGAAAAAGTTGAAAGTCAGTCAACTAAATTTGTTTATTTAAATAAATCGATTGCAACCACTTACCTTAAAAAAAAAAAGTAAATTAAATTAATCGTTTTTTTTTTCAGTGTACGTAACTTAACTACCCCTTCTGCAATTATCATTGTTTAAGAGGAGATATAAACATAGAATTAATGAACATTTTACATTGGATTATCATATTATATATTATGTCAGTGTTTAGAAACACTGTTCAGTTTCTGAAGGTTTAGCCCACATACGAACAAATACAAACTTTTATTTTTATTTAAATTCACAATTTCTCATTCACATTGAACATGTCACACCAAAATTACTCTAAAATGTCTAGTGTACATAGAAATATTTGTAATATTGGGAATATCTTTTTAAACTTTCTGTTTAATTGTCCATAAATATATATTCACAAAAAGTGTGTCCAATTAAGACTGATGACTGCTCTACGATCATATGATATTTCACATTTCTCACCTTATTTATCTCCAAAATGATTAAATGCACTCCACACAAAACATCAGCTGACAAACAATGTCATACATTTATCTTTAACTAAGTCTTTATCAGATTTTAAACACTTTAGATTCGATTTTAGATTTTAAACCTTCACTTTTGCAGAAAAAAAAAAAAACATAAATCGGTTTAGCTATATGGTAAATAACTATTTTTAACTTTGCACATTGAGAAATTCTGCTGATTTTATTTATCTTAAAAGTGCTTGATATCATTAAATACACGTTAGTATGAACTCTAGGGCGAGAAAAACATACTGTAATGCTGTTGAGTCAGAGGACAACTCACTATCAGCATGACAATAACAGAATTGATTCATTTTAAGTAGCTGTGCATTTCTATATATCTGAGATGAGATGTTTTCTGGAGTATTTAATGATATTGATTAATCACTGGGTCACAGGATTGTGATGCAAATCGCTGATCTGTATAAATGAGGGGAGTGAAGTGTTAGATCATTAAACAGGATCATCAAGCCATCATGAAGTCTTTGGTTTTCCTTGCATTTTTCAGCATAGCATGTAAGTACAATAATCAACACAAACTGAGGATTTGCACTTCATTTCTCACCTGGAATGTAATAGCAGTGATTTTCAATTTGTGCGTTGTGACTAAAAATGGTTTGCTGGTTTGTTTGAATAGGGTCTTGTGCATCAGGGTAGCTATGATTTAGCACAGACACTTGTGGGTCATTGGGTCTTCACAGACAAGTGTGCCCAGGAAAATACTTTTACAAATAAAGTTTAAAAGACATGGAAATAGAAATGCATTCTATTTTCAAAAATAGTAAATAAGCAAACAAATACAGAAATACGATAAAAGTTTCATTTAAATTAAAAAAGTTATGTGTAGCCATTAAGCAAAAATTGAGAAATCAGTAACATATTTTCCTTAAATCTTGAATATATGTGAGTATTCAAAGAAAATTATATATTTTCAAAGAGGTTATATATAAGTAAATAGTTATTAGTAAAATAGTTACTAATATTAGTAAACGTACTAATAGTACAAATAGTTACACATATATTAATACAAATAGTATTACAAATATTTACTAATATTAGTAATATTAAAATATAAGTAGTTTATAGCATGCATTATTAATAAACAAATATTTAGGGTTACACTTTATTTTAAGGTGTCCTTGTCACAGTGCAATCATACATTTAAATACGGAGTAATATTAATTAACTACATGTACTTACTATATGTGTAGGATTAGGGTTACATGCATGTAATTATGCATAATTTATTGTTACTATAATAGTAAGTACATGTAACGTTTAAAAAGTACACCATAAAATAAAGTGTTACCATATTTACTTACTAAGCTGCAGAGGTCCTCTCTATGATATAATTTCCTGTCTGGAGAAAAAAATTGCATAAAAGTATAAATTACATTTGACTTTAAGCACATTTTTTGTTTTGTTTTGTATGATGAACAGTATAAGGTCTATTGCAACTTATGTAAAATCTGGTTTCTAATAAGAAAAACTAATTTGAGAACCACTGCTTCCAAGTTTAAACAATACATACTCATTAAATGTCTAACTATATGTACTATAATTAACACTGTCAGATCATGACAACAGACAGTCTATGTACTGTGTGCAGTTGCTGAAAACCATGTCAAGATTGTTGGAGGATATGAATGCGAGCCTCATTCCCAGCCCTGGATGGCGTTTCTGAAAACAAGTTTTCACCAATGCGGTGGATTCCTGATCAATCAGAACTGGATCATGTCAGCCGCCCACTGCTACGACACGTAAGTAACCTCCATGTCTAATAGTAAAACAGTTTAATTAGGCCCAACTGTTAAAGCTGGGGTGTGTAATTTCTGCACCACTATCTACAGCACATCTGTCTATTTTAGCAGCCTGACTCAGCAATGATGAGTTAACTAATAATAAACTAATAATGGTGACAATCGCATGTGTTGTGTGTGAGGCAGCCACAGCTTGTCTGAATGGGCAAAATATTTATTTTAGTTTCTAGAATATTTTAAATAATAAAGATAATTGTATTAAAATTTAGCGCATGTCTTTGGCTGATAGGTTGGCTACTAAGAGGGGCAGAGCGCAACAGCACCCCACATTTCAAAATCTGTGGTGAAAAATGGAAATGCAGATTATGCCCCACTTGTTTTTACCTTATATAAATGTAGTTCCGGACTATGCTATAGCTACCAATCCAAGTCTGCAAAGTGTACTGTATATCAGTCTGTGTCAGGTCAGCAAATCTGTTTAAATTGAGAAAAGTCTTTAACACACAAGATGCCAGAAATTCCCTGAGAATTGACGGCACAGCATTTTTTCCACAACTTGTACCATCCTAAATCAGAGCTTCTGTCTTCACAACCCCCCGCTCTGCACATTTTGTATGTTTCTCTTATCATGTCAGAGGTTTGTACCATTTGACCGTAAGTGCCCTGCGAAGTGGACATCACAAGATATTCTGCCATGATTCAAGTTCGAAAAGGACCTGTAGGATATCAGACCGAATCAGACAATCTAAGATTTGGTCAAACATGGCTGAAACCTGAGGAGCCCAGAATTCCACAAGAGGCCCAAGACACAGGATGTCGTCCGATCTTGTTACTGTGCTAATTACTAGTGTTTTCACTATATTTTGGATATAAATATCCATTGCAGAATTGATGTCATACGGCTCGTTCACGGAATCGCTGGCCGTCTCAGTGATCAGCCGTAAAACAGTGATTCTGTCCCTTACATATTATTGGTGGAGTTCCCTTTAAAATCTTAAATGATTCCCTTTGAGCTAAATTGACCTGTTTCCCTTACAGACCCTTATGTTGAATTCAAAGGGCATTAAAGTTCATGAGATGTGACTACTATGCAAATCTCATGATTACGGTTTAATAACCCTTCACACTACTGTAGTAAGTTTCATCTGTGTGTGAAGACACTGCAGGCAGTAGTGTAGCACAAATCCATGCTGTTATGTTAAGTAAACTTCAGCCGATATCCCGTGTGCAGGGAGTAGGGAGCAGTGAACACGGTGTAGGGACCATGTCAATCGCAACACAGTTCATGCATGGAGCTCTCTTCTAACGAACTGGTGATTTGTGCTAAATAAGAGAGACATGCAAAATATGCAGAGAGGAGGGTCGCGAAGACCAGGATTTAAGAACCAATGTTCTAATGCTGCCTTCATGTGCTATCGTAAATTTCCTATTCCCCACTTATGAACTCATAATTACGTGCTAGTCGCATTGAAGTGTTTTATTGTGGTAAAGAATAAAATGTAGCTTCCCAATGTTTGACAATCATATAAACATTCACCACGATAGATTGTGGAATTTCAGTCAAACACATACTTATTTCACTGTTTATAAAATATACAACATGTTTCAAATGATTGTTCATATATAGCATATAAATACACTACTTTAGTGACAAGACAAAGTGATGTAGTTGTTTTGGAAAAAAACTAATAAAGAATAGCATTGACAGCAGCAATGGCTGTCCCCTCCACCATGTTTAAAGTTTATGGCCCGCCCAACTCGGAAACTCTGGTATCAAAATTATCTCAGTTTCCCAGTAGTAAATATGACTTGAGAGGCGTTCACATCTAATTTCCAATTAGGAAACTTGTATTTACGATAATTCCAAAAGCACGTGAAGGCATCATTAATCAACATTCAAACACAATAAACATTAAGGTGTGAATTCTAGGCTAACCACTTGTGGATGTAGAGCCTGTCAATCAATATTAGAGATCCACCTTCAGGACATTAGACCTCTGCATGTGTTTAGTCATTTGATTGTAAAACTACGGCTACTAGCAGTTAATCATAGGTTAGGCATATAGCCTACAATATGACTCAGAAACCACCCCACATAAATTTATGGTCACAACTTTCTGGGGTAGTGGCATCTTTTTGTCTGACTAATGCAATACGGGGGATTGTTTAAAAGTACAATGAAACAGTCATTATTGGTGGCACTAGTAGTGCAGGTAAGTTCCTCACATGAGGGAAAATAACATTCAGGGTTGTGAGTAAATTAAGGAACTTATTTGTTTTTATCATAATCTCTCTGCTAGCCGCATAGAGGTCCGTCTGGGTAAACACAACATTGCTGTGGATGAGAGCAGCGAGCAGTCCATCCCGTCTGAGCGTGTCATCCGTCACCCGCAGTTTAACTATTCCACCATTGACAATGACATCATGCTGATCAAGTTGCGCAAACCCGTGACTCTCAATAAGTTTGTGAAGCCTGTGGACCTGCCCAAAAGCTGTGCTCCTCCAGACACCATGTGCAGAGTCTCCGGCTGGGGAATCACCATGAATGAAAGTGAGTTCATCCAGAGTATCTTCTTATTTATGGCTCAGACAGATGCTTTATAGTTTTCTGGTTATTATTGTGCTTGATGGTGGTTGCACCACATGGCTTGGAGTTTGACAAACACAATAACAAAAACAAAAAATAACAAAAATTTTGTTAAAATATGTTTTCTGAGAAATAAATAAAGAAGACTTAATGGGCCTTTTTTCTTAATTATGACAACAGGACACTTTTGAATTTAAGAACAGACTAAAATGTCATTTTTTACCGAAAATGCAACACACTCTCATGACTAAATGGTGACTAATTTGTACGGTCTGCTAAAAATAAAAAAATTGTCAAAATCTTGGTTTTTAATTCATGAATTTCTTTATAGCGGTTGATTCTGATAAGCTGCAGTGTCTGAATCTTTCCATCATCTCTGATCGTGACTGTAATGAGTCCTACCCTGACCTAATCACTGCCTCCATGTTCTGTGCTGGATATCTGAAGGGAGGAAAGGGCGTTTGCCAGGTAACGGATTATAGACACAGTACTACACCTTTCAATGCATTAAACCAAAGACAGACATTACATTAGTTATTGGTCTCCAAACATGGTTCCTGTTAAAAATATATATTTTTTTATCCTCATTCTCATCCTGCTCAGGGTGACTCAGGTGGTCCTATGGTGTGTGATGGTGAGATACAAGGTATTGTGTCAGCGGGTGGCCGTTGTGCTGCAAAAGATCAGCCTGGTATCTTTACCAAGGTAGGATGACAACTGTACATTTTAAAAGCTCTATCTATCTATCTTGAAAGAATGAGTTGGCTGTTGATAGCACCTTTGATTTAGATTGCCGGTTAGATTTGAAACCCACCACAGGGTGTCCGGTAAGAGACTTCACGTCACGTTTTGGTAACGGTACGGTTCACTTGGAACCCCAACCGAAGTGGTACTAAAAAAAGTACCAGGTACCAGGTACTGTACCCAGTGGAAAACCCCCAAAAAGTGAACCGTACCGAGCCGTACCGTGCCGTACCATGCAGTGGAAAAGCGCCATTAGTTGATAGATATAGTCGACAGTTGTCTTATATCTGGGAGTAACCCTTGTCACTACAACACTCAGTTACTTGTCGGAGTATACATGTGTATGTGGTTTTCTACAAAAACAGAAAATGCACACAAGTATAAACAATGTTAGAAAACAGATATACATACATATACAGAATATTGGATTAAATACAGCAATTTAAGGATTATTTAGGTGGAACAAAACTTGTTATGTCATAGATTGCCATAGATTAAACAGCACACAGCTTTGCTATCACATAGACTAGAATATAGCTTAACAGCGGTGCTTTGTCTGGGCTTGTTCCACACACATACGCATTAGGTTATTTACGATTTAAGAATACTTAGATATTAAAGCTTTGACAATTAAATTGCACCGAATCATACATGAAATTTAAATTAATAACATCAATATAAACAACTAAGCATGATTTTAATATATATAGAACGCAAAATCATTTTAAAGACATGATAGTCTCATGTTGCTAGCTTATATATGCTAATGTACATCAGAACAGCAAACGCATATATAAAACAGATTAAACGTAATGCACCTATAATAGTTACAAAGATCAGATATCACACACTTACTTTTCATTGACGCACAACACACGTGAATGTAATAAATATACTACATGCAACGGCAGAGGTTTAGTGACCACATCGGTGCTCTGACGAACTCAACTCTTAGCGCCGTGGGCGAGATGCTCGCCTGTGCGTAGATCAGTGAATTCTGATTAGCTGCCGTGTGGGATGCTGCACATCTGTCAATCTCAGCAGAAGAAAAAAGACGTGATCAGCACTCATATTATTCTAACAAATGAATGGCCTTTTAAACATATCTATCTATCTGTCAGTCAGTCCGTCCGTCCGTCCGTCTATCTATCTATCGCCTAGAAAATAGCCTAGGTCTAGGACATGCTAACAGCATGTTCAAAAATCTTCTTCTTCTTCTGTGATATAATATAATAATACTATAATACTCATTATTATCCCTCTCATTGTCCACTAGGTCTGCCTGTTCAACTCCTGGATTACTGAGACTATAAACACATACCAAAACTGATCCCAGCTTCATACTGCAAATAAGGCCACACAATTCAATAAACCTAGTGTGAAACCTGTCAACAGTTTATATGGTTTTTATGTGCAAAAGAAAATCTTTTGAAGAATTATATTCATTAGTTTTTTTTTTTCTCTGATGAATACTTAAAACCTACTGAATAACCATTTGCATAGGTATGAAGGTTGAGCATCTTTCTCTCAGTGCGCAAGACAATATTAAAACCGCACCAGCCAGAATGACCCACAGCTCTGTTTCCACCTGAGCACCATCATACAAAATACACATTAGCAAAGCTAAAGTCAAAGAGAGACAACAAACACTTTGTTAAAGGTTAAACCAGTGATGTGATTTCCTGTTTGTCAAGTGACCAATCCAGTGGAAGACTTTACTCATGAGAAATTTCTTCAAGTAAGATGTGTTTTTATGAAGGTTTTTAACATAAACACATGATCTTCATTCTTTATTAATCATATATACATTTATATTATACAAGATGCTAGCAGAAATTAGCATGATATAAAAGACTGAAATGTGTCAGAAAACACAACCTTCATCCCTCTGGTGTGTGTTTATATTTAGTTCATCAGTGGAAAAGCACAGGTTCTGTTAACATGACTTTGTCAAAACTCTTCACACACTTTGGAAAAAATCCACCTCTGTATTGTGAAAAAAAAACTAAAAGAAACCATTATTCAGAGCTTTTGTTTCATGTAAAATGCAAAATGTGGGGAAATGTAGCTGTACCTGTACTTGGCTCAGCTCCTGACGTACTTCTCCATAAATTTAGACAGCGGTAACTCTACATCTTGAAGTTTTGAGCTTTCTCCAGGATAACAACTATACTGAGGATGATCGCCACGTTAAAAAATTTTTTTTACAGACGGAGCCACAGTATTGTATGTTTACAGTTTTTTTTTTTTTTTACTGCTTACACACAAAATCTTTACTTGTCACACAATTTCTGAAAGCTGACAAACACCAGAACCACATGCCAAATCTGCAAAACCATACACTAATTCTCAGCCTTTGATATTTTACATTTTTTTTGCAAAACACAGCACATAATTCTCTATGTAACACACAAAAATATCAGGAAGTATCTTGATTTTTTTCTTTTTCAAAGACAACCAATCAAAATGCCACACTGATTTATCAGTGCCTCAAACTAACTCCTCACATGTGCAAACACTCATTGCTTTACTTAACACCAATCAACCATGGCTTTAGAATAGGCATATAAATACACATCTGCACAACTACTCTTGGTTGATGTATTTCTTTTCTTTCATACTGTGTAATACTGTATTCACAACCCCAAATTCTTACAGTAAAAAAAAAAAAAAAAAGTTTGGTTTCAATCTTGCTTTCGTGTTTACCGTGAATTTCTCAACATCTCTCTGCCAATTACTTTCAATCTTGTACAGAAATATACTGTACATAGGAGATCAGGAAAGTAGAGATTTACGTTTTGAATAACTATGTGTATATGATATATCTAAAAATATAATATTATGGCAAAGGTGTTTGCAACTTAAGACAAATGTTTGCTTTTGAGATGTGTTTGTGATATTTTGAATGCAGTGCTTCATTTTGCAAGTGATGTAAGGCATTTAGATTTTTGTGTGTGCAATTTTTGGATTTGTGTGTAAAGTTTTGAAAAAAAAAGAGGCAAAGTTTTGAAAATGTTAAAAATGTAAGCAGTTGAAAAAAAAAACTGTAATTGTAATAGAATAAAATGAAAGGAAAGGAACTCACCTATGACAACAATGATTAAAGCACCATTCAACAAACCAGTTAGGATAAGAATCCACCACAGTCTGATTATGTTGAATAACCTTCACTACTGTATGATTCTGACTCTTGCAGAGAACAGTGTCTCCATTAAAGCTTAGGCACTTTAATAGAACAAATACAGAGTACACTACGCAGTTAGTTATTAGGCTACATGTTGCAATCAAAATAATTTCACTGCAGGTCCTTCTGCTGCTGTAAACAAAATTTAATGAAAACAGTTCAACCAAGGCATTATTAAAGTAAGTTTAAAGTTTATTACAACACATCTATAAAGGCTCTAAACATTCAGGTACAAAATTATTCAACTCCCAAAAGTCAAATTCTGGGTAGACTCTATTCTTTATAACCTCAAATAGGGCTGGGTGATATGGGCAAAAAAAAAAAAAATCCTATCAGTTGATATTGATAATTATTTCACATTTTTATTACCTTTTTATATGGTAAAATGTAATGATTCTGACTGTTTGAGTTTTATTGAACTTAACCACTGGTCTTTCACAGTAGCATACATTTAGATCACGATAACCACAGTGAAAACCACACATACAGCACCTCAATACTATGGTAAAAATGTATCTGTATGGTTTCTAGTATTTGTATCAAAAACAGTAGTCTAAATACATTTAGTAGGCTATAAATGCACAGATGCTATAGCTTAATCACACACACACACACACACACACACACATATACTGCAATTATATTCCCTGACTCCTTTAATGCATTTAATTCATGTCTACATTAATAACATCATACAATTTCTTATGATTATCCCACATTTCTTCCACAATACCATGGTGCAGTTAGTGTTACTACAGTAAATCCATGGTGGTGATTTGTTGACTCTTTGCGCACAGTGTTTCTCCTGTTTGTCAGCGCTGTTTCATCTAGCTTTAAACTAGTTTAAATCACCGAGTCATTTGTGTTCTTCGCTGAATTCAAGTGCTCCACACTGGATCTCACAGCGCTGTTTAGTGTTGCTTGACCGAGACTCATCAGCAAGTAAACGCATCCGCTCTAGTAAACTCGCACTGCGCTGCCATTTGAACTTTGAGCCGAGCGGATAAACTGTGTCTGTGTGGCGCGGATCAAATGAGTAGCGCTGTTTCGTTCAGCTTTTGGCGCATAAACGTCATATTGAACATTTAACAAACTCTTGTTAATGTTTTATCAAGGAAAATGATATCGCATGTGGGAGCTGGAGGATAAAGCTACCGCTCGTACGGCAATACAGCCGAAAGACTTCTGGAGATAAACTTAAAAATGTCTCAAGAGATGATAGCAAGTCATTTCGAAAGCTTGACAGTGAAAAATATACCACATGAAATGATTAGATAAAAATGCAAGAAACGAGGAAGGAGAGGTGGTATTCAGAATTGCTTCCGACGTAGATGTACTTGACCGCCTTTGCCATCCCTTATCTTCAGTAACCTGCACTCATTGATCAACAAGGTGAGCATAATAAGATCTTATACAAGGTACTGTAATGAATTCTACGAGGCATCTTTGTTATGCTTTACAGAAAGTTGGTTACAATCTACAATGCCCGACTCTCTTTTTGAGGTACCTGGATTCACCTTTGTGTGAGCGGTCAGGGATAAAGACTCAGGAAAGAGCAAAGGGGAAGGATGTGTGTGTACATAAATGATAACTGGTGCCGAACGTACTCTATGAAATGTAAGATCTGTGATCCAAGTGTGGAAATCCTCGGCATGACTTTAAGGCCCTTCTATAAGCCAAGAGAATTTGGATGCATTTTATTGTTTGTGGTATACGGCACATGAACTGCAGCTCAGTTACACAGATGCACCAGTGATAGTACTTGGAGACTTAAATCATTGTAACCTGGAATCTGTGTTACCGGGATTTGAACAATATGTAGAGACAGAAACAAGAAAAAAAATAATAATTTGTGACAAATGCTTTGTGATTGTGAAGGATGCTTATGTGTCTAGGTGTAGACCACCGATACTGAACTCTGATCATAATGCGGTCCATATGATTCCAGTGTATAAGACTAAACTTAAAAGAGGTAAAGAAAGTGATTAGGCTGTGGTCGAATGAAAGAAGAATTGAGAGCTTGCTTTGAACAGACAGATTGGGAGATTTTTCCTGAAGGTTCGCTAGATGAAAGGACTGAAGTGATAAATGATTATATTATTAACTTTTGCGTACAGTTGGTTATTCTTACTAAAGAGATCATAGTTTATCCAAATAATAAATCATATGTAACCAAAGATATTAAGGAAGTTATGAATCAGAGGAAAGTAGCCTTTAAAAATAAGAACTTTACATTACTTAAACAGACAGAAAAAAACAATAAAAATCAAACTAAAGAAAGCTAAAGCTTCTTATAGACAGCGTTTAGAAGATGAGTTTAAAGCCAATAACAATAAGAAGGTGTGGGATATTTTAAAAACAATGACAGGACTAACATCTTTAAATAAATCAATCATGACAGATAATGAAATTTGTTTTGTTAATGAATTAAATACCTATTTTACTAGATTTAAAATGACTGATAATTGTGTCAACTATAATGAACCTTCCTAAGAAAGGATTGTTATTGATGTTGATGATGTTAGGAAGATGTTTCAGTCTGCAAATAGAAGGAAACCTGGCAGGACCTGAGGGATCATGTCTGATAAAGAATTTTGCTTACAGTATGAGTTGGCGCCAGTGTGGCAACCAATTGTTCAGGAATCTATTGATACACACGCTGTCCCTAGGCTATGGAAAACCTAATATATAAAACCATTGCTTAAAATTTCATGTTCTAAAGAATGCAAGGATTATAGACCTGTAGCTCTTCCTTCAGTAATTATGAAATGTTTGGAAATAATTTTACTTAAACATCTGGGGCCTCATTTATAGCTGTTGCGTACGCACAAAACCTGCCCTGAATGAGGCGTACGCCATTTCCTACACAAAAGGTGGGATTTATAAAAAAACCAAACTTGACGGGAGTCTGCACGCAAACTCTGACCCATGCGTAAGGATTTTTTTTTTCCTGGAGAGAGAAAAGTAATGAAGTAAACAACGATTTTAAACTGTTTTCATTTCATAATATACATTTGCATTAAATATTCCACTCTCGTTAATGGAGATAAGCACTGAAATTACATAAGGTCATTACGCAGAAGTTAAACCAAAATTATATGTATTTAGACATAGCCTATTTGTAGTGGATGCGCTTGATTACTTTTCCTGTGGTATGTTATGTTTTAATGACAGCGAGGAGTGCTATAGGTGTACAATAATTTATCTTTTAAATTATTGTACACCTATAGGTGTACAATAATTTATCTTTTAAAGTAAACTGCACATTGTTATGAGAGAGAAAATATTTTTAGCGAGAACAATGATCAATGATGCGCACTTACTTCGATATTGTGACGGACACTGCTGGATTCAATTTGTCTAAATATAAATGTTAAAAATAAGTCCACACTTACACCACATATATTATGATCACATATCTTATGAGAGTAAACATGTTTAGAGGGCTTTTTCTGACTTCTCGTTTTTTAAAAGATAAATTATTGTACACCTATAGGTGTACAATAATTTAAAAGATAAATTATTGTACACCTATAGGTGTACAATAATTTATCTTTTAAAGTAAACTGCACATCTCATGTTATGAGAAAATATTTTTAGCGAGAACAATGATCAATGATGCGCACTTACTTCGATATTGTGACGGACACTGCTGGATTCAATTTGTCTAAATATAAATGTTAAAAATAAGTCCACACTTACACCACATATATTATGATCACATATCTTATGAGAGTAAACATGTTTAGAGGGCTTTTTCTGACTTCTCGTTTAAACAGTAGGAGGGAGTGATTTCTTTTGAAAGTCAGTTCCTTTTTTTGTCAACTGTGTGTTGATGTAACCTATTTAATCAAACCCTAACTCTCAGTGAAGATTCAATTTGGACTTTTTTGTAAAATGCGTTATGAGATTCATTACAGTTAGATTGCTAATCATGCACACAGTCCATTGGTGCTTGGACCCTGATGATTGCTACTTGTGGCTTTATTTGTAGTATAGATGTCATTGATATACTATAGATTAAGTATAGGTGATTGAATGTTTGTTTGCTTTGGTGTTGCCACCCCTCACAATCCTCATGCCACCCCGTTGCCACCCTACGAAATACTTTTCTAGATCCGCCCATGGATAGATGTGAGCTCATAGTTGTGGTTTGGTTTGTTCTCTTTCAGCTCCACCGCACTAACCACTGAGGGAGGAGCAGCAGTTGTTCACTTTATTGTAACGTAAATACATAATTATGAATACAGCTAATACCACCATTACAATAAAGAGCTATCAAAATATTGATTCATTTCCCTTGTTCATTGAACACACCAGAATACAACTTTTCATAAGAGCAAATAAATCCTGTTCAATTTAGTTTTTTTTTTCAACTGCTTACCTTACATTTTGATTTAATATTAATCAAAAATATTAATTTACCATAAGACAAAAATAATCATACAAAGTAAAACATTTATAAAAAATACATAATATGTTTTATTTAGACATAAGTCAAATGTTACTTAATGTTGGTCAGTATGATTAAAACTTAATTTCACCATAAACCAAAGTTAAATGAGCTCTAATAGGAAAGTAGAATTTCATTCATATAAAACTAAGAAAACTTTGTTAGTCAGTGTTTCATTTTAATATTTATTGTGATGTCTTTTGAAAATATGCATAATATTTTATGTTATGTACTACACTGTAAAAAGTGTCATCTTAAAGAATTATTTCTACCTTATTTTACATATAAAAATCAATGTATTTAGGTGGAAGCAGTCATAATATTTTTTATTTGAATAAAACCAGTAAATTTAGATCTTATCATTTTTAGGTTATATTTTAAAAAAGCTCCAGAAACATAATAAAACTCTGCAGTAAGTAAGGCTAGTATATATTCTGCACATGAATGCTCTGGTGTCAAGGGAACATTTTACTTGTCACACAATTTCTGAAAGCTGACACTCAAACACCAGAACCACACACCAAGTCTGCAAAACCATACACTAATTCTCGGCCTTTGACTCAGTTTTCAATTTCATAAAACACTTTTTGCAAAACACAAAACACAATTCTCTATGTAACACACACAAATCTAACAGGAATTAATATTATGGCAAAGGTGTTTGCAAATGTTTGCTTTTGAGATGTGTTTGTGATATTTTGAATGCAGTGCTTCATTTTGTAAGAGATGTGAGGCATTTTGCAATTCTTGGATTTGTGTGTAAAGTTTTGAAAAAAAAAGACATTTGTATGTCTTTAATCTGTCATGATGTTTCTAAAGATCTGACTGCAGGTTTCAGGAAGTCTTGAGTCTTTAACACAGTCTGTGTCTTTAACCGTCTGTCATCATTCAGTCAGTATGGAGCTCAGTCAACTTCCTCTTGTGCTCTGTGAGTATTATTTTCTCTAAATGTATTTCAGTGGAATTGCTATTATATTATGTAAATAAACAAGTGTTTTAGTGTTCCTAGATTTATGTCTTTTCTTGCTGCTCTCAGAGTTTCAAATCCAGCTCTAGTCCATGATATATGAGTGAAAGAGGAGTTTGATTGAGATGTTGTGTTGTAGATCAAGGTGTTTGTAAGAGTTTGTCTTTATTCTTGTGATCAGACTGTTGGCTTGAAGTTCCCTAAACAGTTCTCTGCTATGACCAAATCTATAAAATACCAGTCAGATGTTTTAATGTTTATCTGGACTCGTACAGTCATCAACACTATATCTTAATATTTGTTCATCTTTATAATTATCTTTCCTTTTTTTTTTCTTTTTATTGTTTTGTCTGTAAGATTTTTTTTTTTTACTGAAAATTGTCAAGTTCCTTAAAATTCACTCAACTTTTTTTTTTTTTTGAGTTTTGAATCTTAAATATTTTAATTAGATCACACTCTTGAAGTTCCTGAAACAGTTCTCTGCTATGACCAAATCTATAAAATACAAGTCAGATGTTTTCATGTTTATCTATACACATATACAGTCCCCACACAATATCTTAATATTTGTTAATCTTTATAATTATCAGCTGAATGTTCACATTGTAATGCGTTTTTCTCTTTGTGTTTTAGTGCTGATTTCAAACATCTACTCTGGACATACTGAAGGTGAGTCAATTTGATTCATATATTTTCAACACATATCAGTAATTCTACATTAACTGTTATAAACCAACTGAGAGTTGAGAAATTACTTACATTTTATGATGATTATAAATGCACCCTTTTAACAAGTTGAATTATTCATGTGACAGTTCTGAGTTGTGACAAGAAACATCAGTCTGTCAAAAACAGCAGATATTTCCTACATTCTCTGTGAAATCAAAATCGAAACAGCGAGAGACAAGATCTTCTGTTGGAAAATTTTCACATCTCATGTTTCCAAATTCCCAATGATTGTGTATTGACAAATCTTTTATAAACGACTATAACAGCTATAGAGAGCAACACTCCAGTCTCATCTGATTTAGCGTGTGTGTTTTACAGTCAAGTAACTGTGTTCTTACAGTAAAAGCAGCACATTGTTTTCATTGTGAATTGTTGTCATTGTACAGAAACACCAAAACCCAAAGTAACCATTAAACCTGCTCAACATGTATTCAGAGGAGAGACAGTCACTCTCAGATGTGACATAAATGCTGAAGGAGTCACTAGCTGGCAGTACAGCTGGTATAAAGAAGATTCAACCGGTGTTTTCAGTGAACTACAGGAACACACATTCAGTCCTGTTACTGAGTCTGACGCAGGTAAATACTTCTGTTATGGAGCAAAGACAGACAGATCACGCAGATCACACATCAGTGATGAAGTTACACTGACAGTATCAGGTGAGTTTGATCATCACTTCACATACACACACAAGTTTAACATGGTATTAATGAGTGATTTCTCTATTTCAGATAAAGCCCAGTGCCGACATCGAGCAGAAACTCACGACTGTATGCGCGCTTAGAGACAGATAGACGCGACGAATACGTACAAAAACACTGCGACTCACAAGACAAAAAACATGAAAACACCTTTCTGTCGGGAAAGAGAGAAGCCGCAGCGTGTGAACGCGCCGCCATCTTGTTCATGTAGCAACACCTGAATAAACTGGTTTCATAAAAACATATTATAGAGATTAAAGATATTTAATCAGTCTGAATACTCTGATTATACCATCAAAGGTCTTTTATAAAACTCATGTAAAAATGTCTGCTCATTTCTTGAGGTAACTGCACTTTTTCACTTTATACAGACAACAGATATCGTTCTGATCTGCTCTCAGACAGCAGCAGAGGAGCTGGAGGAAACTACACTGTCAGTTCTGCTGCTCCAAAACACACAGGAGTTTATGTGTGCAGAGCAGAGAGAGGAAAACCAGCCTATAACACAACCATCAGCAACACACAGTTAATATGTGTCACTGGTGAGTTCAAACTGAACCACAGAATGATTGAGGAGGTCCTAAACAGACCAAACTAGCCAGCAAAACCTTGAAAAACTTTTAATTATTATGGTGTAAAATTGTCATGAAAAATATATAAACTAAACTATTGTGGCACAAAAGTGTTACTTACGTAAGTGGACTTGAGGGAACATAATCAAATAGGTGTAATAAAAATGTATAATCTGACCTATTTATTAAATAGTGTTTTTATTATGAAATTTATTTTTAATTTTTATGTTATTGACCACACCTTGATTCTAGGAGGCACTTTATCAACAACACAGGATGGACCGTATAAACACTTTATCATTCATTTTACAGTTTGACTATCTGCCTACCGATAAATTAGTAAATTAATATACAACAAACTCAGTTAACTATAAATACTACTAGGTTCACACTGTACAGGCAAAGAAGAATTGACCCCCGAGTTGAGTCTGGTTTCTCCCAAGGTTTTGTCCTCCAATAGTAACACCTTATGGAGGTTTTTGTTGGTTATCACAGTTGTCTTTGGCTTGTCTGCTGATGGCATAATGACAAATATATTAAGGTGTTTATTTTTATCAAGTTTTAAATAGAAATACTCAGTGAAGACTTATGGATTTTCAGATATTATAACTTTAATATTTTTCTGAAAACCTGCTTTGAAACAATTTGTGTAAAGTGTTATATCAATAAAGCTGTCTTGACTTGATTTCTGAATTGTAGCTGTAATTGTCTTCTCAGGTGTTTCTCCTCCAGTCTCTCTGATCGTCAGTCCCAGCAGAACTCAACACTTCACATTAGTCTCTCTCTCTCTGAGCTGTGAGGACCAGACTAAATCTACTGGATGGACAGTGAGAAGATACAGAGACAGCTGGCGGCTGGAAGATTGTTCATCAGTGTGGGGATCACAAACAGGATCTACTTGTACAATCAGCTCCACCATCCCATATGACACTGGAGTTTACTGGTGTGAGTCTGAATCTGGAGATAAACATCATCCTGTTAATATCACTGTACACTGTGAGTCTGTGTTTCTGTATTTTTCACAAAACCCTCATTTCTTGTTTCAGATTTAAATAGCCAGATTGTGATCTCAATTCAATCTTATTCCTAAATGACAATGAATCCACTAGACTAATAAACCTTTGACTATTAAACCATTGCTCAAAACATTGAGATTCTAAATGTATCCAGAATCGTGCAGTCATTTACCCACATGTCATGTTTATTTGTTTATATTTTTCATAACCCCCATGAGAAAATTTGTTATTATTATTTTTGTATTGATTATTGTAACTCTGTCCTATTTGGGTTACGTCTCACATTTTCCATAAGCTAGAACGTAGTCAACCTTTGACTTTTGTCATAAAAAATAATCATATCTTAAAACTCATATTTTTAAATAAGCTTTTCCTGATTAATTGTAATTTATGGGTTATCTTTATGTTGAATAGATGTTGCTTTGATTGTATTACTGTCTTGTAATTTATGATTGTCATCAAGTTGTAATGTGTTCTTGAGTGTTTTCAAAGGCACCTCTAAATAAAACGCATTATTATTATTATTATTATTATTGTTGTTGTTGTCTCCACATTGTTGTTACATTCTTACTATAATCTTACTATTTGTCAGTTGATGTTTGCTCTGTTTCTGTAGTTGGTGTGATTCTGGAGAGTCCTGTTCATCCTGTGACTGAAGGAGAAACTCTGACTCTACGCTGTTTAGATCAGTTTTCAACCCCACCAAACCTCAGAGCTGATTTCTATAAAGATGGATCACTCATCCAGAATCAAACTACAGAGATGATCATCTCTAATGTCTCAAAGTCACATGAAGGTTTCTACTCCTGCAAACACCCAGAGAGAGGAGAGTCACCCAAGAGCTGGATCTCAGTCACAGGTGAGAGTCAATGAAACTGTGAGCTGGTTGATTTCTTCTCATGTTCTCGTTCAGATATGGTGCTTGATAAAGTGCTTGTGTGTCTCTTCTTCAGTGTCTCATTCAGGATCTCCGATCTCTGTCCTCCACACACTCAGTTCTGTGCTGGCAGTTTCTCCATATCTGCTCGTGACAGTCGTGCTGATTTTCAAATGCTGCAGGATGAGAGGTAAATGTCTGTCTGATTTATTACATTATATTTATTATATTCAGTTAAACACCAAGTTGGTCATCATGAGAAAGCCAACCTACTGATAAGCTATTTAAGCTTTTTATTATTCTTAGTCTAAATTTCTGAACGCTACTCCTCCTAGAGCTTTCAAGCTAGAACCACCAAACTCAGCCCAGCTCTTCAGACTGATCTCACTTAGTGTGCTAGATCTTTTCAGACTGATCTGACTTATGGTTTTCATCAAAATGAAGATAAAAATCATAAAAATCCCATAGACTTGCATTGACAGAATGTTCAGATGAGCCAAGACTATTCAAACTCCAACTGTCTAAATTCTAATTTAAATTCCCAGAATCCCTTGAGACTCAATCAAACGTCCCTTCTATGTACTATTTATAATCCCTTTATACTCATTCAAACTATCTATCTATCTATCTATCTATCTATTGGTTCAGCGCTTGCCTGTGGTTGTCACAGTTATGTATAAAAACATAAAAACACATTCAAAACATCACACATAGAATATCCTGCATTGTTTTCTTGTCTTTTTTTCTTTTCTTTCCGTCTTTTCCGTGGGAACGTTAGTACAGTGGTCCAGATGATGCCAGGTTGTGTTTCCCCCCACTTTGACTGCTGCTGGAGTAGCTCTCACCACTTCTTAGGGTCCCTTTTCTCCTGGGCTCATTCCATTTTCTTTTTTCCTGTAAATAGATAGCTCTATGTATGGCAGTTAATTTCTTCATATATGATCGAAGTTCCATTTGTAATTGCTCTAGAGGCGGTCCTTTGTAGGAACCTCTACAATATAGCACAGCATGGGTCGACCCGTAAGCATTTCATGCG